TCTAAACAGTAACTATATTCTTATACACAATGAAGGGTAGTCAATTCAACAACCTTTATCAAAAAATTATATTGTGTATATAACATATTTTACTATAAACGTAAATGAAAGATTACTTTTTATATATGCATATTAAATCTTGAATACCCTTAGCGAAATTTCTGGTTTCGCTTGTATTCAAACTCAGCGACATTACAACTTAGAATTGTAACCTTTTAGTTGCCGGGTTGTCTCTTGCAAGTTGGAACAAGAGCATTATATGTGTAAGATAATTAAGAGACCATGGGGCTATGAGAAAGACTAATTGAGTCGGACAAGTCACACAACAATGCACTATAATTAAAGTTCGAACAATAGATTAATTTCGACAAATCATAATTTTGTTGTCAAAAAGCTGAAAATCACTATCTAAATTGTTGTAGTAATTTTATCATATTTTGTATCTTTCGTACTCCTCTATTAATAACCAAGTAAAGAAAGGAAAAATGAGTTAGAGAAAGTGAAGCAAATATAAAAAGTTCACATGATTCCAAGCTAACATTGGTTTTACGAGTCCGGAACCAAAATGTGGTTCTTTTGGACTCAAACTACACAAATAGGTGTAAAAAAAAAGTTACCATACTATATATAACGCCAGAAAACATGGCGCTATACATTAACGGTAACTGCACCGTTAATGTATAGCGCCAGATTTTCTGGCGTTATACAAAAAAAATCTGACACAGCTGATATAGTGCCATAAAAAGTGGCGCTATATGTATGNTTGACAGGTTACTTCCCACTAGTCTCTTCCGTTTCCTACCGGCTCTTCTTCTAGGGCTACGTACTCTTTCTTTTTCTTTTTGGTAATTATTAGACATATGAAATAACTATGAAATATGTTGTTGTCAATTTATTTGCACTTTGAATATATTGTACTACCACAAAATACCACAAGATTAAAATTTGTGTTAGCAAGTAGCAGCTTCATGATTATTATCATATATACCAATAATAAAACTAAAATTGCTGCCATTTATTAAAACTAACAAGAAATATTACGGACGTCATGGAAAAAAAGTGTTGTTGTCAACTCCAAAAAAAAAGAAGCTAACACTCTGTTTGGATCACTGTTCCCCATCGTTTTATAATGTATCGTATTGTACTGTATTGTATTGTATCGTATCGTTTTATGAATACAATGTTTGGATAGATTGTATTGGTCGTTGTTGTTAAATAACATTTTGCTATTTGGTTTGACTGTATCGTACTGTACTTTAACTGATAAGTTTACTACAATACCCTCAATTATTTTAAATATTTAATTTATCAAAAATTACACATAAAAATTATTTAAGAAAACCACTTTCTACTAACTAATCACTAATTATGTCTTATATATAAATTAAGCAATTAAATTCATGCAAATTCTATCGAAATTAGTTGAACAAGTTAATAATATTAAAAATAATAATAAGTACACTATATTTATAATTAGATCATAATAATAAAAATTTAAAAAAAAAATATTAAGTAGACTCCATTCAGACAAAAGTAAAACAAAACATTTACCTGAAGAGTATGGAGAAGCGGCAGAAGAACAAAATGAGTTTTTCACGTATGTAGGTTATTATATACTAGGTTATATTTGGGATGTCGTCTTGAGAATTTATATCGGTTATTAGACTTCATGTAGAATTCTATTACAAAATTATGTGAGAAAGAGACTTTGCTATTATTTAAAATAAAAAGGTAAAGGGTAAAATAGAATTATAAAGTAATAAGTTAGGGCATAATTAGAAAGAAAAATAGGAAACGATCCCACCACACCAAATCGGTTGTTTCAAAAAATAGGACTTTTCATTGTTCCGGAACAATGGATTTAACAATACAATACAACCAATTTTAACTAAACAATCAAAACAAACATTGTTCGGTGAAAACAATACAATACGATACAATAGGTAACAACCATCCAAACAAGCTGTAAAGCTAATAAGTGGAAATGTAAAGTCTAAAAATAACCAATGTTGAGTTAATATTTTACGATAAATAACTTAATATAACTTGTCATTTGTTGGAAAATCCCTCAATATGTTTAAATAAAATATCAAAATGAAAAATACTACCTTGAGTCATAATGTTAACTACATATGTTTGAGAATCTTAGTTGGGGTGAAAATAATCTACATAATTAAGATAAGGAAAATTTTACTAACATATAAAGTTTTAATTGATTTCAAAGTTCTAAATATTAGGAAAATCATTAATGACTATTATTAAATATTAGAAAACTTATTAAATGAATATTCATAAATAGTAGAGCAATAACTAAATGATTGTTTTATCTAATGTGAACTTTATTTTTGAAGGACAAAAAAAATGACGTTTCGCTAAGGGCATTTTTGCTTTTAATATATTATAGATAATACAATTAGTCACCAAACTTCGTCAACGAATAAAATATAACAAATTTAAGACAAAAAATATATTTCACTAGTTGTCTACAATATTAGAGACTAAACTAGTTTGTCACCAATAACTTTAAACATTGTGACTAATGTTACCAAATAACTAGCGACAATTCATCTTTTTGGTGAAAAACTCGAGTAGATAAAACTATCGCTACAAATTTGTGTTTCGTCATTACACGTATTTGACGTGTGCATTTAAGTACGACTCTAATTTTTCTTCCAAAAAATCAATAATTAGTGATGAACTTTTTATGGTACCTAATAATTTTATAGGTTAAATAGAGATGATACAATGATTATCGATAATTTGTTTATGCTATTACTGACAAAACTAAGGTTGCAAAAGATATAAAACGTTTAGTGACGAAACTATTTCGTAGCCAAAATATAATTATTTTAAGACGAATAATTAGTTGTCTACAACATTAGTGACGAAACTAATTTGTCATCAATAATATTAATTTTGTGGCTAATGTTAATCAATAGTTGGCGCCAATCTATTTTTTGGCGGGAAACTTAAGTAGACAAAAAATTTGCAACGAAATTTATATTTTGTCACTAAAAGTATGTGCCCCATGAATTTAAGTACGAAATATAATTTTTGTCGCAGAAAATAGATAATTAGTGACGAATTTTCTATTGTAGCTAATATTTTCGTAGTTAAAAATCACATTTGTTGTAGTGATGGAATTTCTTTTCTGTTTTTTCGGTGAAATTACAACTTGTTTTAATTGTTGTTTAAGCAGATCAATTAGGAATTCCTTTGTAAGACAAACTACGACTAGTGCATATGTAGTTAGTTCATATATAGTGCACTAGATTGCACTAACTTTTGTTATGACGCGTAGTAATTATTGGTAATATGTTTAATAATTACCAAAAAGAAAAAGAAAGAGTACATAGTTCTAGAAGAAGAGTCAGTAGGAAAACGGAAGAGACTAGGTGGGAATAACCTGTCAAATGAGAGTTGACATACATATAGCGCCACTTTTTATGGTACTATATCAGCTGTGTCAGATTTTTTTTGTATAGCGCCAGATTTTCTGGCGTTATATATAGTATGGTAACTTTTTTTTTTTTACACCTATTTGTGTAGTTTGAGTCCAAAAGAACTACATTTTGGTTCCGGACACTTGGTTTTACAGACAAATCCATAAGATCAATCAGTTACCTTAGTAGTTGGAGTTAGTTAAAAATTTAGGTTTACACGAAAAATCTTGGCTAACTAAGGACAGAAAGATTCTTGAGAAATTAAAAAGGACACTATAGGACGGAAAGATAAAAAGAATATCTCTAGGGTATTGTGAAACTGTAAATAACAATGCAGCACCGGAATTAGTATATCAGCTTTGGATTGCGCGAATCGAGTAGTTTTTATTTATTTTTTGTATTTATTAGAAAAATTATTAAATATATATTTTATTATAAATCCAATTACTAAGACGAGAGTTGGATACAAGTTTTAAACTATTAATTTTTAAATTGTAACTAACGGCTATGGTAAATTAGAGGTCGAATCTGTAATAGTCTTTAATTTGTACTTTCCAAGAGAAGAGCACATGCCTTTCTGATTAAAATCTTAAAGAATCAGTTAACTTTTCTTCTATCTGAATTGAATCAAACAAAACCACAAAAACAACATTCACAAAAAAACAAACATTTTTCGAAAAAGAAATGTTCGTATTTCGTACTTCTCAGTACACTTACTGTTCGTCCGTGATTTCTCTGCAGTACCCTTTTAGTCTTTTTTTAAAGATGCTATAAACTGTGTGCCTCTATTCAAATGTAACCTTCCTTGAACATTGAAAGCCATGCTTCTAGCCATCCACATAATTTGTTCATCCAATGAAACCTAAAACACAACAAAAATCAAATAAAATTTTTTCAAAAAGCTACATAAAATAAGTAGAAATGAAAGTAGCATTAAATCTACTTCTACCTTTTAGGGAAAAACATCAGAATTATACATAAAAGACATTTAGAAACAATTTAAAATTTACTCGAACTTAGTGTTTATACCAATACAATAGTTATATGACATTTTCACATACTCTCTCAAATAATAATTAAGTAATATAAATTCTTATCATATTTTATCAGTTGCGTAGCACATGCATTGAAGGATGGCCGCCCGAACATTCTTTATCAAAAAATTACACCATGTATATAAAACTTATATTGTGTATGTAGGTCAAAAATTATTTTTTATATATGTATATTAAATTCTGAACACCCTTCACGAAATTTCCGACGTCGCCACTGTTTTATAATTTAATCATGATAAACAGATATAATTTGAAATAAATATTGGATGCCAAGAAATTTTTATCCATAGACAAGGGTCCTCTTTGCCATTAGGAGAAGCAACAAAGAACCGTAAAACCCTATGGGCTTTGGCCCCCACCTTGTCCTTTTTCCTCACACCCCACATGATAGCCCCCCCCCCCACCCAAACACCCCATACCCCCCCCCCCCCTTCCCCACAAAAAAAACTAGTTGGGGTCATTCTCCATAAATAGCTTCACATTCCTCTATTCCAAAGCACCAAATTCTCTTAAAACAAAAAGAAGTATTGGTCTTTCTAATTCTTCCTAAAGCACTCAACTTTTTTTGGTATCATAAAGAAAACCCTACAGAAATGGCCATCAGAAAATCAAACAAGCTATCACAAGCTGTACTTTTGAAACAAATTTTGAAAAGGTGTTCGAGTTTGGGCAAAAAGCACGTCTATAACGACGAAGATTGCCTTCCCGTTGACGTACCAAAAGGTCATTTTGCAGTTTACGTAGGAGAAAATCGAACTCGATACATCGTACCAATTTCTTTCTTGTCTCACCCTGAATTTCAGTGCCTCCTCCGTTGCGCTGAGGAAGAATTTGGCTTCGATCACGACATGGGCATCACCATTCCATGCGAAGAATTGGTTTTCCAGTCACTGACTAATATGCTGAGATAGTAAATAAAGTATTTGAAAAGAAGAAAAAAGAGTGAATAGTAGGTGTTAGGTTTTGTAGTGAAGAAAGATGGGCTCAAGATGAAGCAATTTTTAGTCTTTTTGCTTCTCTTTTTTTCTAACATCTTTCTTCACTTTTTCTTTTTATGTGACCTTCCTTTAACGTACTCTGACCTAGGAACCACATGATATTTGTAGTGTTTTTTATGGGTCAGAATCAGAATTTGTATAAATTTTTCCTTGCAGTGGTGTTTTTAAGCACACTGTGAGAGAAGTGAATGTCAGCTCTCAATCTATATATTATGCCACTTTCGATATTTTAGTGTTTCTCAATATATTTGCCATTTTAACTGCATCTTCATTTTTTAAGGAAAAATCCAATTGAGCATATTGAAATTGGTAATATTCCGTTTGAATTACAATAATATGATATAATTTCTCAGTAGATCGATGCAGAGCTTACTCCGTTATTTTGTGGACTATAGTATGATTAACACGTAAGTTTAATTTTTGTTGACCAAGAAATCCATTATTATGCCAATATAAAATGTAGAGAAATTTCTAGCATGGTTTCGTAAAACAACTAACAACCACCGCTATGTGCAGTAGAAGGATAACGAGCTGGTGTTCTCCCAAGTCGAACCAATGCCTGATGGGCTGCTCCAATTAAATAAGTAGAAATGATACCAGGTAGCCGCTCTAAAGGGCTGCTATGTAAGAATTAGCCAACGCGTTTTGAATTTCAATTTTTAAGTTCAAATTTTCGGGAATGTTCTTGAGTTAAGATTTTTAGTTTAAAATTTCATGATAAAATAAGTACGGGCTAATATCTAAATAGCATCAATGAGAATGGCTATCTGTGCATGTGAAATTAACAGGTTAATTAGTAGTTAATTAGTTATTAGGACTAATGTGTAAATACTGAGACTTAGGGGTGTTAGTAAGAATAATAACCGACTTAGTCTATTAAAGGACTAAGTCGGTTATTACTGTAGCTAACAGAAATCAGAGCTTCAACTCGTTCTTCTCTCTTCTTCTTCTATGAAATCAAAAGCCTCATTTCTGAATTGTTCTTGCATGTGTTAATCCAATTGATATTCGATCAATCTAAAGCAAATTAATATGGTATCAGAGCAGCAATCGATCAACTAGAGTTGTTATCCGAAGAAATCTGAAAAACAGTTAACTTCAGAGCTTGCGAAGGTGCAACAATGGCGGACGATGAAATTGAGAAGCTTCCTCACAATCATCCACTATACCTAAAGGATTCAGACTCACCGAGAACACCTTTAATAGCTCTCAAACTCACCGGGCCAAATAATTATTCCCTATGGAGTAGATTTATGAGAGTGGCTCTCCTAGTGAAGAACAAATTAGGTTTTGTGGATGGAACCTGTCAAAAAACTTCGTATAGAGGTGAATTGGCAGCGCAATGGGAGAGATGTAACGCAGTGGTTGTCAGAGTTGGTGCCGAGCATTATGTACGCTTCAAGTGCGAGAAAAATCTGGGACAAGTTCAAGGAGAAGTTTGACAAAGATGATCTGACTAGAATTTACCAAATTTCTGCTGACATTGCTGCCCTCAAGCAAGGTACAGATTCTGTAACTTCTTACTTCTCAAAGTTGAAAGACTTATGGAATGAGTTGGATATCCTAGCACCTTTACCTTCATGTGACTGTGAAGAATCACGTCCATACGTAGATCACCTAGTGAGACAAAGGCTTCTACAATTTTTAATGGGGTTAAATGAGAGTTACAGTCATGTGAGGAGTGTAGCGTTGCTAAAAAGGCCAGTTCTTACTGTGAATCAATCCTATGTTGTTGTAGTGCAAGAAGAAAGTCAAAGGGAATTAGGAGCAGTTGAAACAAATAGGGAGCCAATGACTATGTTAGCAGGGAAAGGAAATCAGTTCATGAAAGGGAAGAAAATAGGTCTGATTTGTGAACACTGTGGATACAAAGGGCATTTGAAAGAGAATTGCTACAAAATAGTTGGATACCCTGCAGATTTCAAAAGTAAGAAAAAGAGCCAGTTTCCTACATAAACCTATGCTAACAATGTTAATGGAGAGAAAGAAGTAGCAATGAACGATCATCCACAAGGAAACTACATGACTAAGGATCAGTACAAGCACTTGGTGAGCCTGTTGACAAAGTCATCCATGGAAGGAAGTTCCAGCAAAACATCAAGCTCAACAAATATGACAGGTATAAAGTCATTGCTATCTAATGCAAGATTATATGATTGGATAGTACATTCAGGAGCATCGCACCATATCACTATTTGTAAAGAAGTCTTAGAAAAATTAAAGAGAATCAACAAAGGAAATAGTAGAGGAGTTCAAATACTCACAGGAGGCAGATCAGAAATAGTAAACACAGGTGATACAACAATACTAGGAGGGCAGAAGATTAGAAATGTTCTACATGTGCCTGACTTCAAATTCAATCTCATTTCAGTGTCTATGCTGACTAGAGATTTATGTTGTTCAGCTTGCTTCTACCCTCGTTTTTGTGTGTTTCAGGGGCTTTACAATGGCAGGGAACCGGGGATTGGTAGAGAAGATGAAGGGTTGTACATAATTAGGAGTGAAGAAGATGAAATAGTAGCTGGATCAGTCAAGAAGGAAGTAATAAGTGCAGAATTATGGCATCAAAGGATGGGGCACGCCTCCATAGGTTCCTTGCAATGTTTTCCAGATTTGAAGAATAAAGTGAATAAAGATGTGCAGATGTATTGTGAGATTTGCCCATTGGCCAAGCAAAGTAGACTAAAGTTTCCTCTAGTAGTCATCAATCTGATCACATTTTTCAGCTTGTGCATGTAGATGTCTGGGGCCCATACAAAACTGCAACTTATGACAAGAAACATTATTTTGTAACCATAGTAGATGACTGTAGTAGATATACTTTGATCTGTTTGTTACAATCTAAATGTGAAGTAATAGAAATGCTGAAGGATTTCTTTTCCCTTTTGAAGAATCAGTTTAATGCTTCTATAAAAGTGTTGAGGTCTGATATGGTAGAGAGTTTTCAATAAAAACTACAATGAGTTACTTGCATCTTTTGGAATAGTACACCAAAGCAGTTGTCCCTATACTCCACAACAAAATGGCGTAGTAGAAAGGAAACATAAACACATAGTGGAGGTGGCAAGATCATTAAAATTTTAAGTAACATACCTGCTAGATTTTGGGGTGACTGTGTCAAGACTGCAGTCTACTTAATCAATAAGATACCTACAACAGTGTTGAATGGGAAATCTCCATATGAAAAACTTTATGGGAAAACACAAAAGATAGATCATCTTAGAGTGTTTGGATGCCCGTGTTATGCTAGCACACTGCCAAGAGGGGATAAATTTGCAGCAAGAGCCTTGAAATCAGTATTCGTTGATTATTCTGAGGTACAGAAAGGATATAACTGTATGACCTGGAGTCCAATAAGTTTATGGTGAGCAGGGATGTAAGTTTCAGAGAAGACATATTCCCTTTTAAGACCTAACCCTGTCAGCCTGAGAACTTATTCATTCCTGATACTGATCTTCCAACAATCACGAAGGATCGGTCTATTTCAACACCTATAGCTGATGATGATCTGGGAATAGCAATTAAAGCCGAGACAGACACTTCCACTCCTTATGTGGCACCAGATATGCCACTGAATGAGACAACAAATGATATGGAGGTACCTAATTCAGATGAGAGGAATGAAGAAAGTGCCTCACAACAACAGGAACATGAGCAAGTGGAACAGCAGGAACATGAAGAGGAGCTACTTGGACAAGTGCCATCAATTGTGCAACAGCCTACAGAGATCATAAAATCTACAAGAACACCAAGACCAGCAGTGTGGCTCAAAGATTGTGTGACTACTTGTAAACCAAAAGGAGACTGTCTCTATTCAGTTTCAGACTATGTAAGCTATGATCATCTTTTAGAGCACTACCAATGCTATCTAAGCTCATTCTTAGCCCAAGTGGAACCAAAAAGTTTCCACGAAGCAACACAAGATGATAGGTGGATAGAGGCAATGAAGCAGGAAATTTTGGCACTAGAAGAAAATAAAGCATGGGAGATAGTGGATCTTCCTCCAGGAAAGCAAACTATTAGCTCAAAGTGGGTGTATAAAATCAAACACAAAGCTAATGGTGAAGTATAAAGGTTCAAAGCCAGGCTGGTGGCAAAAGGATATACACAACAGGAGGGGTTGGATTATCATGAAACTTTTTCACCTGTTGCCAAGATGGTAACAGTCAGAACTGTGATCAATCTAGCAGTTTCTAAAGGCTGGATTCTATCTCAAATGGATGTTAATAATGCCTTGTTACAAGGTGATTTGTATGAGGAGGTGTACATGGCCCCCCCCCAGGGATTCAATAGGCAGGGGGAGTCTAAGATTTGCAGACTACTCAAGTCTGTTTATGGTCTCAAACAGGAATCAAGGCAAACGGAATATCAAACTGACTGATGCACTGATAGGTGAAGGATATGTGCAAAGTGCCTATGATCATTCCCTGTTCACAAAGAAGACAAATGCACACATGGTGATCATCCTTGTATATGTAGATGATTTATTAATTACTGGCAGGAACAACACATTGATGGAAGAAGCAAAGGCAACCCTACACAAGCATTTCAAGTTGAAGGATTTAGGTGAGCTAAGATACTTCCTAGGAATTGAGCTCATGAGATCAGACAAGGGAGTTGTGCTTAATCAAAGGAAGTCTGCTCTTCAACTAATCTCAGAGGTGGGATTGAGTGGTGCAAAACCAGCTAGCTCACCATTAGAACAGAATCTAAAATTGACAATTGCTGAGTATGACAAACATGCAGAAGTTAAGGGACATGAAGAGTTGCAGGAAATTGTAAGCTATCATAAACTAATAGGGAAGCTTATCTACCTCACCATTACAAGACTAGACATATGTTTTGTTGTCCAAGTTTTAAGCCAGTTTATGCAGAATCCAAAGCAATCACATTTGGATGCTGCATTGAGGGTTTAAATACATAAAAGGATCACCAGGAATGGGATTACTGTTGAAGAAAGGAGCAATAGAAGAAGTCACAGCCTATTGTGATGCAGATTGGGCAGCTTGTCCAAATACAAGAAGGTCTGTAACTGGTTATGTGATAAAGTTAGGAGAGTCACTAATCTCATGGAAGTCCAAGAAGGAGCCAACTGTGAGCAGGAGTTCTGCGGAGGCAGAATATAGAAGCATGGCAGCAGTGACTTCAGAGTTAGTTTGGCTAGTAGGGTTTTTGAAGGAGCTGGGATTGACTGTAAAAGAGCCAGTGATGATGCACTGTGATAGCAAAGCAGCTATGCAAATTGTAGCCAATCCAGTCTACCATGAGAGAACAAAATATATAGAGATTGATTGCCATTTTGTGAGAGAAAAATTCAAAGAGGGATTGATTGCACCTCAATATGTTTCCACTAAGGAGCAGCTCGCAGATGTGATGACTAAAGGATTAGGAGTTGAACAGCACAAGTCCTAATATCCAAGCTAGGATTATTCAATGTCTTTTACCCTCCAGCTTGAGGGGGAGTGTGAAATTAACAAGTTAGTAGTTAATTAGTTATTAGGACTAATGTGTAAATACTGAGACTTAGGGGTGTTAGTAAGAATAATAACCAACTTAGTCTATAAAAGGACTAAGTCGGTTATTACTGTAGCTAACAGAAATCAGAGCTTCAGCTCGTTCTTCTCTCTTCTTCTTCTATGAAATCAAAAGCCTCATTTCTGAATTGTTCTTGCATGTGTTAATCCAATTGATATTCGATCAATCTAGAGCAAATTAACAGTGCACTTGTCCTATTAAACTACCACCTCAAAAAGAAAAGTATGAAAAACAATTTCTAGTATATTTTTTATTTTATAACAATGTTGACTTGAGATATATTTAAACAAAGAAACATGGTAAGTCACGGTTTATATAATCGACCTCAACTTATTTAGGATTGACGTATAGTATCATCGTTGATTATTTGATCTAAGTACGATAGTTCTATAATATAAGCCACCTTTTGATACTTCATTTTGAATCATTTAATGGTGAAAGGTGATGTTTACTTTGAATTTGTATGAATTAATGTGCATGCGCTGTCTGGGGTCTTTTTAAACCTATTAAGTTGGTTACTTGTACTTTTATGGCTAATTACAACACTTGATATATCCTTATCCTTAAATTTGCAGAATGTGATAGACGTGGGTCCAATAGAGTATTTTCCTCGAAATTTCCCATTTTAGCATTCCTTCTTGGCTCTCTTTGTCCCTCATTCTTATCTCTATGTCAAATAATAATTGTCCAATAATATGGAGTACAATATTATAAACCGGCCAAGTAATATGGTACATCTTCGAAAAACACCCCATGTTGGTTTGTTTATCATGACATCATAAAACTCGAATTTGGGGATTGATTTTAGGACAAGTTACACACTCAGCCGATCGGTCAAAAATAATTATATTCGTTAGCTAAATATATAAACAATATACGCTGATTACTTACATTATACTCCCTCTAGTCTAAAATAAGTGATTTTTTGACTTTTTTCTTGTGGTCCAAAATAAGTGATTTTTCCAGATTTCAAGAATGAATTAATTATTTTTTTTCCTACATTGTCCTTGAAGTAAATGGTGTTGGAATATGTGTTAGGAGTGTTTATGTGAGATAGTAAAGGTTAATATGGTCAATTTCATTGTTAATTAATGCTAAAAGGTGAATTTCTTAATTTGTGTGAAAACATCCAAAAAATCACTTATTTTGGACCGGAGAGAGTATGTATCAGTAAATAGCTACCAGTACCTACCGTGTTTGCGGTAATTCTTGAATTCTTGAAATTTTGTAGTACTACATAAAAGTGAGTTAAATTGAATGGTCCATTTGGATATCCAACTACACCTATTTTGAGATTTGATTTCGACTCCTCTCAATTCCTTAGCCTCACTTTTACAATCATTTATTACTTATAGAAAAACTACAAAAATGAAAATATCAATTAGCATATGGTCCGGGAAGTGGGGCAATGTGTTCTTATTATCAATTATAGGACTATCTAATATTTGTGGAAATTAGAGCATATGAATGAAGGAGTGAAGTTAAGATGGCAGTTTCAAGTAGTTGGTACTTATATCACACTGGCCTTACATGCAGGATTGTCTTTAGTAGTACTTGCAAGGGCGGAGCTAGAGTATTCCTTATGCATTCGGACGAATTCAGTAACTTTTGTTTAGATCATGTATCATATTATAAAATTGATTAAATATGTATCAATATTGCGAACTCACTAACTAATTACGAACTATGAATTCGATAGCAAATTCAGAACTCTGAAAGGGTAACTGAGTAAAGCAAAAGTAGACAGAAATGCAGGACATAGCCGTAACACATCAATTAAGATTGATAGCTATGTGGATAGTTTTCTCAGCCTAAGAACATGCTAAGAGATACTAATGTCTCACCTTCTTTTTCCTGTTTCTCTCATAATGGAGCCAATATAATTAGCCAGCTTTTGTTTGGGAAATTTAATTCAGTGGTACTCATATTGGAGTTTGAAATGGGGCTCATTTGTCTAATAACTACTCTTCAAGATATAGTATTGATGTTGGTAGAGGACCACTTTGAACAAGGAAATTAAATCCCAATTTTGTTCTAGTTCCAGTAACTATATCCTTTTCATCAACTTGTACCTCCAAAACGTTGCCCCTTGTATTCTTGTTTTATGTCATCAACAATCTAAATACAAAATAGACACAAGTTTTTTCCCTCTTGGAACAAGAGCCATCATATATATGTCAGAGATATTTATCCTAACAAACTGTGGGACTACCAAAAGACTAACTGAATGCAATAAAAATATTCAATCCGGCATATATTCCTTCCATTACAAATTATCTTTGATGGTTTTTAAAAATAGTTGGCTTAGATTATTTATCATTTTAGAAGTTCCAGAGTAAATTAATTTTTTTTCCTATTCTACCTTTCATATTAATTGTTCTTGAAAACTATAAATAACTTAATTATGAGTAAGTATTTATGAAGAGTAATGTTTGCTCAAAAGTTATTACATATCTTATGAGTGCAAAACAACACAAATAATCACGAGAAAATCATAGCAAATCGTAATAATCTGTTGGACCAAATGAAAGAAACGAAAATAAGTACTCAGAATTAGGGGGGGAAACATTCGAAACCTTTATTGATAATATTTGTTTGGTCTGCCTCTCCATGAAGAGGTTCAGAGCCTTACAATGGTGTTTCTCTTTCCATAAGATGGGTATATTGTTCCCTTCTCTCTCCTGTATATAGTAGTGAAGAAGCAGCCCCCCTTTTTAGGCTTTCTACTCTTAGTATTTATAGCCGTGGGCTTCGCGAGCTGGCAATAAGTGGCCGTGACCACATTGGGATCTCGCCTTTATGGTGGCAGACAGGCCATGACCCTGTTGATCTAGCCGGATGCGGGTTGAACATCGTCAGTTCTGAGTGGTCGTACCACTAATTAATCATGAATTAACTTAAAACGGGATTAGCCTCGTTAATTATCGTGGGGTCGGATTCTGACACATACAGTTAGTCCCTCCGCTTATTGAGTTCGGGCCTTGGCCGAGCTCGATGAGTGCATTCCATCGGCTGTATTTCGAGAAACGCGGATGGGGATGTCGACTATTGCTTCGGTCGAGGCCGAATTCTTTTTGGCGATGGCCCTTAGCCTCACAGAGTATTAATATTCTGTTATTGGGCTATCAAGTTATTGTTCGATCGAGGTCGAACTCTCCTTTTGGGCGAAGGCACTTGACCTTTTAACTTACTTCGAATGGGGTCGAGTTGCATTGTGCTCTGATCCTTACGTTTGTTTTGGAAGCATACCCGTTCGGCCGTGGCGGACGGGGCGCATGTGGTGCGGGCGAGGAGAATGGGGGCACGCTTGATACGTGCTCGGTGATGGCCTTAGCCGTTTACACGTTGGAGAGGGCCGTAGCCTTTCATATATTGGAGATGGCCGTGGGAAATGAGTATGCGCCGGGTACGTATTTGGTCAAGTCCAGAATTTTGACGGCGTACGGCACATTCTTTCAGTGTTCGCAGGTCGTAGCGATTATTCTGATGGCGGTATGTTGGTGGATGGCTGAGAAGCCGCTTTGCGGAGCTCGTCAT